CACAGCCAAGCGACGAGTTCGATTCGCTATACTTTGCTCGTTGCTTCGTGCGTCAAACTGAGAGAATCCGAAAGAGAGCCGACGATAAGCGGCCGTCGCGAAAATCCAATTGCACGGAGAGTGACGCATCGACGCTTTTCCCGAGGGAAAATCACAGCGGTCGATCCGCTTCGTCTCGTCTCGGCTACGACGGCTCAAGGCCGCAAGAGGAACGGCCGGGGCCTGGGTCATGAGAGAGACGGAAACACGGGCGAGGAACGTGGCATAGGAGAATGTGTTTGTGTACGGGAGAGACGGAGAAAGGGAGACGGAGGAGAGAGAGAGAGAGAGAGAGATATGCCTGTTTCTACCGATGTAGTTTAATTTTAATCTTGGTTCAACTAATTCTTCATCTTTTTCTAGTTCTAAGAATTCGAAAGAGTAAGTTGAATTGAAATTAAAGTTAATCTACATTGGTAAAAACGAGCAAGAGAGAAAGAGTCAGCTTGCGAGAATCGTCTGTGTGTGTGTGTGTGCGTGTCCGATCGGTTGTGTGGATTCGCGAGAAGAGGAGAGCAAAACGGAGCAGAGAGACAGGGTCGAGCCATGGAAAGAAAGGGGAAGGAGAATTGCAATAAGCGGAGGAGAGACTTGGGAGAGACGAGCCGGCTCCCCTTATCCATCCATCCAAACCATTCATCCATCTCTATCATTCTAACGTTTTCTCTCTCTCTCTCTCTCCCCGTCTCGCGCTCGAACTGGCGTGGAATAGAAGGCACTTCTCGGGGCTTTGTACGAGTCCCTACCTGCGCAGACGAACGGCAGATCCTTCACAGCATAGCCCGATCCATCTACGTTGTCATCGCCAAATCGCACGCTCTGACCAAGGTGCGGACACTCCATGTTTTCTCCAGGCACGCTTTTCCACGAGGCACCCGTGGCCACCTCGTCGTTGTCGTTTCCGTCGTCGTCGTGGTCGTCGTTGTCGTCGTCGTCGTACGAGCGTTCACGAGACAGTCCGTCTTTCTCTTTTTCCACAACGGGGCGGTGGACGAGGATCGGCTAGGGGGGAAGGGCAGGGACGAGAGGGGGCAACGGGAGAGGAGATAGAGGAGGAAGGTGGGGTAGGTCTCGGTAAAAAGGGCGAGGGGAGTACACCGGTGGGGTAGAGTCCGGGTAGACAACGGTACGTGGTGGAAGGCGGGGTACACACCGTGGTGCCCCGTGATATCCGTCACATAGCGCGGTGGTAGCGAAGGACACTGTTACGTCGCCTTTAATGAAAGAAATAAAAAATAAAAAAAAAAACAAGAGGTTTTACGAGGAGCGCGGAGGATGGTATGCGTGACAACGACCGTCGCTCCCGTTGCGCAGCGTACGACTTACTGATGGAGGAGGCGGCGCGCAATTCCGAGAGCGAGCGGACCGAGCGGACGATGGTCGGGGACGAGTGAGCGAGCGAGCGAGCGGATGAAATGAGCGAGCGAACGAGCGCGAAGAGAACGGCGGAGGAGTGCGGCCGACTGGCCCCGACTGCCGACCGAGCGCGACCGAGCTGCGTAGAGCTCGGTTCTGCCGGTGGTCGGCCCACCTCTAGAGTCACAGACCACTAATAGTCGACTGACTCCTCTCGCCAGTCGTTCGTCTACGGGCTCTCCTCCTGTCCCCCAACAATCAGGTCCCGCGAAGCGCTCCCCGACGTTCTCGTCGCCGTTCCTTCTAGCGCTTTCTCTTTCCCACGCCCTTTCTCTCTCTCTTTCTTTCTCTCCTCGCCAACGAGGTTGCGCTAGGTCTCTCCTAGCCTTGGATCGCGCTACGGCTAGGGTCGCGCGCAGCCTCGCGGCCCGACCAGGGCCGGACTTTCGCCCGAGGGTGCGGAATGCTTTCCGTCGCGAACGCGAATTTATCGAGCGTCTCGTTGAATTTATATACCGCGAGACGCCACCACCGTGACCCCCGCTGATATCGCAATCGATCCCGTGAAATCGCTGCGCATCCCGGACGAGCGGTACGGGAGACACGGGGTTTAGAATTCACCGCGTTGGCTCTTATGTATTATGCGAATTACGGCGGATGTCCTTTCCGCTGAATGCGCCGCATAATGTAAAACGGAGCCCCTCTCGATAGCGGACCGTTTGCCGAGAACTCGATTTCGCGTTAATGCTACAAATGCATCGTCCCCCTCTCCTGCGCGTAGAGCGCATTGTTCGAGAACCAGATTACCGAGAGAAAGAAACGAGAGAATTCTCCGCGTCACACAAGGCTCGGCTTGGGTGCCGGGAAACGTTCGAGCTGCACCTGGCCTATGCCGATGCAACGCGCCAGGGATGTAGTCGTAACCCTCTTATCCCTCTCCACGGTGCGTCTTCGCGCTCGTCGTCGTGAGCGATATCGCGAGCTGGGAGAACCAGTTTGCTAAAACGGCAACGATTCCGGCAGCTCGGAGCGGTTAAACGCGGTCGATACCGTCGTGGAGCTGCGACGACGCGAGTGTTAGCAAAAACACTCGGCGCGAATATAAATTGACGCGAGGCGACCGACGGCGATGGTCCTGACATTGGCGCACATGTGCCGCAATGAGATTATCCGTACGTCTGTGTGTGTGCGCGCGGAGATCTACGGATTGTAGGATCACCAGGGGAGATTGTACGACGATTTATGCCTCACACAGCGATCGCGGTGGATGAGGACGGGCATTTTCATCCGAAACGTTCTTGGACTTGCAGCGTGAACGGACGATCATTGCATGCGTTTCTAGTTGTTCCTAGTGTGATAAAATGGCCGACTGAGCGCACGCGCTCTGCTGCCTCTATTGCCTTTTCTTTTTTCTCTCTCTCGATGCATTTATAAATCGTATCGTTTCTGATGTTTTCCAATATCTGGCGTATCACTGAGGACACATTCAATCAATAAAGATAATTTTCTTTTAAATTAAAACTATATAATATAAATTAAATTGTAATTATATATTCAGTTTTGGATAAATATTTTTCAAGGACATGGAGCATATGATTAAGGTTATTAATTAATCAATATTGGGACTCGTTAATGATCAAGGTTTACGAAAAGCTAAATGCTTTGACACGGATAATAAGTAGCACGCGTATCGTGAGTGTTAGTTTGCAATTTTATTTGAAAAGTGCAAGACCAACCATTTTTCTTAATAATGTGAAGGAGGGATATTTAAGAACGTCTGCTAAATTGTGGTACAGGCTGGGTGAGTTGGAGTCCAGTGATGTTGTTGAACTCAAGCATCTTCAACATCTCCTTGGTTTCTGGATCGACCTCGATGATGTCGTGCTCCAAAGCGGAGACCTCAGGAACATAGTTGTCTCTGCGTTCCCTCTCTTCTTCTTGCAGCTTGATGGAGATACCACGTACCTGACTGTGCCTAAGCCTCTTCATCAGGTGAGTGACAAATCTAATGATTACAATACAATCGTTATAATCATATTGAAATTCACATGAGCAACGTAAAGATACAAATTAAATAAATAACAGTAATTGTCGGCTCTAAGAATAAATCAATAAAGTAAATTTAATTGTCCATAAGAGTTATAGCAGTTATTAGCTGAAATTATACATACGTTCATGTTATATAAAATTTGCAAGATACAAATAAACATACAATCGCAAATGTTTTGATTCTTGATACAAATATAAAGTTTTAAAAGTATTCAATGGTATAAACGTTACAATAAATTTTGTTGAAATTGTAATAGTTATCAATGTTTTCCAGCAAGGTACAATGTAAGGTCAATATTACATGCGTCTGTTTTTTGTCGTAAGACACATTTTTCAAGACTGTTGATTGGCTACGACAAAGAGGTCTGAGATTCTCTCTGACTTGCGACCAATTAACACGTTTGAAAAATTCATCGTATGAAACAGATGCATGTAATATTGACCTAATACAGTGAATTGTTACATCCTTTTTTGCCAATGTAAACAAAGATGTCATCTTAAATAAGAGTAAAAATCATTTACTGTTACATTGTGTCCTTGCTGGAAAATGCCTTGTATTTTTATAGCACGACTTCAATCATAATCAAATAATTATTGTGCTTTAATTTAGTATTAAATAAATCTGAATATTAGTAAATGTTTCCAGTCATTTACGAAAATGAATGTAACAAACTAAATTGTTGGTTAGTTGATAAAATGAGTTTGCGAAATGAAGATTCCTTTAAATTAATATGCTATATACTTACCCAGCAATCTTATTGCGCAAGGATTTGCTAGGGATAATAGCGATTTCCTCGCATATTCTTTTATTCGTGTGAAAATCCAAAGTGAGACGTGGATAATACTTCTCGATAATAAGCTTTGCGGCCTTTTTGACCGTCTTCGTTCGGACACGACTCTGCAAATCGTTTAGAAGCAATATGAATCAACAATCCGACGTAGAATATATATATTTTATTGTGAACAATTATAGCTCCACTGCCAAATTTCGAACATAACCTAAATCTAAAGTAGCAAGGATTCGCGCGTTATCACAACGGCTCTTAGCCGATTAATATTTGCACTGTAGGGTTAAATAAAGAATATATGAAACGGACGGGTATAAATCACTGGCGATTACTCGCGGATCGTTACAAATTTTCGCGGATTAAAATTAAAACACATCAAATCATACGCACCATGTTGATTCGGATACCGGAAAAGGGGCGAAATGAAACGAGAAAGAAAGACAGGAGAATCGATGACGGCCTGCGCGATGCTGGCGACGACAAGCGGCGAAATTACGAACAAATTTGTACAAACGTTGTAAAGGTAACCGAGAAACCTGCAAGTACGACTGTTAATGAAGGAAATATGGTTTTCCTGGAAATATTATCATGTGTATGCCTACGAAATATTGAAATAATTATGAATTGTAAAGAGCAAATATGTATAATAAATTGAAGATATTGAAACGTTCTTATTTATTACTTTATATGTATTTCATACTAATATAAAAATATTTAATTTCTCACAAAAATTCACATTTTTAATATATTTTAATTATTTTTGATATTAAAAACAAAAAAATTTTTGTATATTAAACGAATTATTACTCAATTAATCAATGTAATAAATCGATCTGTTATGATATTAAAAAAATATTCTAAATTTTGTTTCTACCTAAAAACAATCGTGATATGATTTAGTGGTTACTTATCTTTGGATTGCTATTGCATGAGTATGATATCAAAGTACATAAAATTAATTATTTTAATTATCTTAATGCCATATATAATTCTTTACAGCTACCAGAAAATTATGTTTTCATTAAATTTTAGTTTTAGCAGCAATACTGAAAAATCGGCCAAGTTAATCGGAGTTGATGAGGCTGGCTCTTATTATACGTATTGCGTTTCAGGACTTAAACTCGGATACTAAAAGAATTTACGAATCACATTTGAACAATTTAATCACATGACCAATGCGATTGGTCAATTCTTTTTTCATTGGATATCTCAGATCAATTTCTAGTATCATGAACATGACGATTTAATTATAGTTTTAAAAAAGTCGCTTTCTTCAAATTGCTGGAAAAAACCGGAAAAATTTCGGTTTTTTTCCGAAAAATTGGTTTTTTTGGAAAAATTGCTGTTTTTGTTATGTAAAAGACATAATAAGTAACTTATAAATTCCTTTATAAAATTAATGCGATCTATGAAATTATGTAGCGTTATTTTATTAAAATTTTTTAGTTATCCTTCTATTTTTATAGTAAAACCTAATCTAACCTTCCTTTAGTACATGGCAAACCTTAAGTAGACAGATTTTTAATTCTAGTTTGTCACACTCCGGTCCAATGAACTCCTGAAGTGTCTCTTTGTAGTTTTTTTTTTTCAAATATTTTGTTACGAATTCAGTTTAAACCCAAATTATTTTCTAGACCTACTATTATCATATAAACATGATGTTTGGACTCTATATTTTTAATTCTTACATTAATGGTGCAATAGGGTATGTTTTATTGAATACATTATAAATGTTTTGTATATTTTATTGAATATACATTATATGCGACCTCAATCTTTTATACAATTTAAAAATTTCTGTTAACTTATCCCGCTGTGTATCCTATACCCAATTTTTTTTTATGGAAAGAACCGAGAAGCAAACGTGGTAGGTTTTACGAGCACCCGTGAATTTTTCCAAAATGAATTTTTCTACCTTTAGGAAATAAAACCGAAAAAATCCGCGGAAAAATTGGGTTTTTTCCCGATCCTTTAAAACTATAGATTTAATCCTATATTAAACGTAGGAAGCTCAACTCAAACGAATAAATTCATTATCGCGACGTGAGGTCTATCGTGTTACTTGAAATCCTCAAAATTTTTGAATTTAAAGCGAGATAGATATTTGGATATTGAAAAGAAAGAAAGCGAAGATGCTGAGTGCAAAAAGTGCACGCAACGCGAACAGACCTAAGGCTGCATTTCAGGCTGCCTTCCAATGGAGAATTAAGAAACAACGGAACGAATTAATATTGATAGAAAAGAGATAGGATGAGAGTTATCCTCATCCTATCTCTTTTCTGTCAATATTTCGTTTCGTGGTTTCTTTCTCCATAGGAAGGCAGCCTCACGTATGATGTGCATCATTTATCCTTGTTTAACATTTGGTGAGTAAGGGGCTGCGCAGAATAAAAAGAACAGAGAACAGAGAATAAGAATTTCAACCTATCAGAAACTGTGTATTCCACAATATATGATTTCTGATAGGTTGAAATTCTGATTTTCTGTTTTCTGTTCCCTGTTCCTTTTATTCTGCGTAGCCCCTAACAAGGATAAATGATGTATCATGCGCGTCATGCGTGAAACGGAACGCAGCCAAGATTGGCTCGTTATTTCAATATTTCGCGGATGGCAACACTGCTTTTACGAGATTTTGAATCGCGCGTTCGCGCTCACGACAGTTACGGAATCGCATCGCGACGGAGAAATTGTTTCCGAGAATCGTTTCGTATTTTACAGTAGAATTGTCATCGTTTCACACAGTCTCACGATCGTGAAAACATCGCAATTGTTTCGGGTAGTATCGGATGTTCGTCGTAACGTGAAGTGTCGCGTATAATTGCATATTGTTGTACTAATGCACTATATACGTAGATATTCTCATCCACTATCTTGATTCCATTTGATTGATAGATTACAGTATGATTAGTGATAAAGGTATGTGTTAAGAAGAGCCCAAATTTTGATAAAAATACACTGAATCGATGCGTTTTCGCATAAAAATAAAGATTTGACAAGAAAAAAATGTCACTCTGTCTTGCGAACCGAGATATTAATCCTTAAAGTGGACGACTATTCGGGTTAGAAAATCTGTCACGGCAGTGATTCACTACGTTAAAAACACAAACTTACTGCTTTTAAAATACAAATTCACTACTTTAGCAGAGAATTTATATTTTTAAGGCATAGTGAACCACTGTCCCACAGACAGTACAGAATATTTATGATAAATATTTATTAATATTTATTTTTTGAAATGTTATATAGATATATTTCATATATATTTTATATAAAGCTTTATTCAAAATATTATTAAAATATAGAATATTTTATGTAATATTTATGATAAACATAAATAAATATTTACCAATCCGAATAGTCGTCCACTTTAAGGATTAATATCTCTGTTTGCGGAGCAGAGCGACACCTCTTTCTTGTCAAATCTTTATTTTTACGCGAAAATGCATCAATTCAGTGTATTTTTATCAAAATTTGAGGTGAGCAGGCTCTTCTTAATTACCTTTGTCACTAATCGTACTATGACCGGTATTCATAGTCGGTTCTTATTTCAAGACCGTCTTAAGTAATGTCTTAAGACGCTAATGCGGCTTTCTGAATGGTTCATGACACCTCAAGGAACTTAAGATGGTCTTAAATATAAGATCTGACTATGAATACCGGCCTATGACAATCAATTAGAAGTGGCGGATAGGAATACCTACATATCTAGTGCCTTCATTGTACTCGTGTTTCGTCGCGATGGTGATTCGCGTCCGCAAACATGGCTCCGAAATCCTCGCTACTCCGTTATTTTCTAGTCGGATATCGACAGTACGATTGAGATTTTCGTCAGGTATTTTACAATTTTATTCCTCCTTTTATTTTTGCATATTTTATATTGCCGTGCTATCGAATATACCTCACGATTATACCAATTATTAAATTAATATTAAATTAAATTTCATATGTTTGATGTACAGTTAACTTGTTTTGATATATCGCTGGAAAATGTTTGAATGTTTTGAATTATTAAAATTTTGATGAAAGATTTCTCAGAAATTAAACTAAAATATTTGAATCAACGGCTATGGAAATCGACGCGATTCGTAATTAAATTAAATTCTATAGAATTTCTAATTTCTCTCTCTCTCATATTAAATTGAATAGTATAAAATTTGTAATTTTAATTTCAAAATTACGAATGCAATTTTGAAATAACTGTATTGTAAAGAATCAAAAGATTATAGAGGAATAAAAATATGTTCTTTTAAAGTGTATTTTTTCTTTTTCTTTTATGTTTCTATTTTTTGCAAGCAATTAAAAAATCAAATTTTTTTTAGTTAGGTGTATCGTTGTAAAAATGCAAATGAGCGATACATGTCCACTATTACGATATTACCGACGAAGCGTTTGAATTTTAATTGTAGGTAAAGTTCGCTTTATCGTCTGATGCGAATTTAGATTCCTCGATATCGCATTAAATAAATTTTTGTAAAAATAGATTCTGACTATATATTTATAATTACAATTGAAAGCAAAACCGAAGTTTTTTTTAAACTTTTTACATTAATTTGGAATAAAATTGAATAAAAAAATATTTTAATTATTTAGAAAAGTTTGTAAAATATTAATTTTTAATAAAAAATGGATAGATCTATTTTATATCAAGATATTTTTTAGAACAAAGTTAATCTGAGAAATATTGCATTATCGATTTAATGCATGATTTCCGACATCTGGCGGTATAAAATATAGATAGAACGATCGAAAACTTGAGTTGGACTTGACGGATAAAATATTAAACGTTCGATTATTCTTCGTTCGATTTGTTGTTTGAACTTCATCTTTGAAAGATGTCGCGAACGGGAAAAAACATGTACGTATATACTCCGGGATGCAGGATTCGCGGCGTGCGAAATATCGTCTTGAAAATACCGTACCTGCTCTGTATTCTGACACGCATATGTTCATTCGATCATGAACGATAAAATAATACACGTAGAGACGAACGCTAGCGCGCCTCTTTAGACGTTACGGAGTGATCAAAACAATTCCTCGAATTCGGTAGCAGTTAGAATTCTTCGAATTCGATGAGCGAAGCGCGCATAGGTGGGGGAAAAAAAACGTTGGCAGTAAAAACTGTGTTTGTGTATTGAAAACAAAAGGTTTATTCGCGTTGCTTGCACGTTTTTGCATTCAATAGCTTTGCTTTCTCTCTTTTCAACGCCCAAATATGTATCTTATTTTAAGTACAACAATTTTTGGGGATTTTAAGCAATGTCAATCACAGATCTATACAGTATAAAGGCGTCTCAAAATTCGCGATTCAAAATACTAGAGCAAGAAAGTTTTCGAAAAATTAAGTAAAAAGAGTTATCTATAAATTTCTATTTTAAACAATATCAAAAACTATAGTTTTTGAGATATAAGGGTTTAAATACAGCTAATTACTACGTTTAGGTCTGCCGTGAATATTAATGAACGAGTTGAAGTGCATGCTCATCAACGCTCACTAATTCTACCACAAGTACGAGTGATTCATGGATATGTAACGGTCTAAGCACAGTCATAATTGATCATATTTGAAGTCTTATCATCTCAAAAATTACTGCTTAAAATAAAAATTTACAAATAACTTCTTTACTTAAACTAAATATGAGAAGAGCCAATTACAGTCAATTAGATGTTAGAGACTAAAAAGTATATATTTTAAATAAATCGCTTTTCTCTCAGAGAGAGAGAGAGAGAGAGAGTGTATTTTTAGACTTTCAACGCAATCAATCTAAAATGTTAACAATCCCCCCACATTTAATTAAAGGCATCTTAAAACTTGTAAAGAACTTATTGCGAAAATATAGTATAATATAAATAAACCTTAGCCGGAATTTAAATATATTCCATACGGGCGTCTTCGATCGTCTTTTACTTATTAATTTTTAGAAAATATTTTGAGTGCGTTTGAAGAGACTCTATTAGCGCTTTTTGTGTTATTATATTTTCACCGTTCATTAGACATAAAACAAGGGTAGAATGATACAAATAGCGCTAATAGCGTCTGCTTGAACGCGCCCTATGAGTTGCGAATGTTGGGTCACTCTGTATAGGCAGGGACGGCGAGAGGGGAGACGATCGAGTGCGCGCGCCTCGGTGTGACGTTGGCTGCGAGTGGGGGCGCGCGAGAGCGGGCGGAGTGGGAGCGAGAGACGCGGAGCGCGAGTGAGATGGAGTGCGTGAGCGTAGTCGTGTCGCGGGAAGGGCGAGCGGCGGTAGGCGGCGAGTTTGTTTATCGCCTTGGTGAACGGTGAGAGCAGTCAGTGCGCGGTTCTACGTTCGGTGTGCTACATCCAGCTGCGGCGGTACGGGACGCGCTCGCGATCGGGTGATTGTTGTCGGGGCAGGAAATTTGGCCGCGTCTTTTTCTCCTCTCCCTCTCTCTCTCTCTTTCATTTATTCTCCGCCTTTCTTTCTTTCGTTCGGACGAATAATTGCGCGAGTGCATCCGATCACGTCGTTCTCCTCGGTCGTTCTCAACGCGCACGACGGCAATCAGATCCGCCTTTCCGACGTCAAAAGGGAAGTCTGCCGTCCATCGTGCCGGAGGAACATGCCATGGTTCATTGCTAAGAGATAATAGAAACCGCCCGCGACTTTTTTTCCGTGCGTGTGTTGTGTCGATTCGGTGGTGACTTCTGGCAGCAAACTCGTTCTTCCCTCTCCTTCGGAAACCTGTCATCGATTACGTAGAAGCGAGCGTTCGTCACATCGGGTAAGTTTTTTTAAGTTCTCTGCGTGTATAAATCGCGCGATGCACAACGGGGTCACCGGACGTCACCTTTGACGCGACGTTAGCCGCCGTCCGTTGGCCCGATAATCCGTCCCGCGTCATTCGCAGTGACTTCACTCCGTTCTTCCGCCTCTCGACCGCGTTCAATATCATTAATATCATTGCCGTTATTAACTTAGAGCGCTGCCATGTGCTCGATCCGGAACTCGATTCTAATTCCAAGGTCAGTTCCCATTTTCCGTGTATTATACGTAGTGCCGCATCGATAGAAAAGTGACTCAAGTAAAAAGTTGGTATTTTCGAAATAATAAAAGGAAATTGGCCGTAAAGATTAATATATTTTTATAAGACACGATACATTTGTAGCTCATTTGCTTGCATGGAAAAGTGTCACAATTCCGAAGTTTATATCACTCTAAGGTCGCAGTGTTTCAATGTTAAAAATTCATTATAATACGATACATTAAAATATATCGTATATATAATTAACTAATGATTAAGTTTTTAAAATTCGAATACAGCGATCCTAGTATGATGTAAATTTTATCGGAGGTGTGACACTTCCATCAAGCAAATAAATTAAAAATGTTTACTCCATAAAAATGCCCTATATATAATGTCTTTTTATAATTGAAAGTATAATATGAAAGGAAAGTGACATTTATAAAAATTTATAGAATCTTATAAAAATTGTATATCTACTATCTTAATAATTAAAATATTCTTCCAATTAAGAATTAAAAAAATGTTCTACTGAAAAGTCGTTAATTTTGAGACGTCGCTTCTATCATTCAAATGATATTTCTAATCTCGCGCAGCGGAAAAATTGCACTCGTGATTTATCAGTTACACTTTCATACTCTCTGGGAAATGTCTTTTCTTTTTAATTTTCGATATACCTTTCGTCGCGTTTTAATTACAAAGAGTGAAAATGTGGGGCGGAGGAAGATAGGTTTCTCGTCGCACTTCACAGTGTTACTCTTATTACGTTAGATTACAGTCTGTCAGCGTTTCATCTGCCTTCAGCGGCCTTCGTCTCCATCAGCTGACATCCAGCGTGCCCCCAGCTCGGTTAAGTCCGTCGAGGACTTTCTCCTCTACGCGCGTTCGTCCTTCGCCGATTTCTTGCCGAGAGTTCGTGCCGTAAGACTCGCCCGTCGTAAGACTCGAAGCGAACGGTGTTTTTAACCGTTGGCATTCATGTACGCGCTTATTCGAAATTTCTCCGTCGAAAGGTCGCGGGTCGTATACGTCCTCCATCTCTTTCTCGCTTTCGTCGAAGATTGAGGTCGGCCTTGACCGCCGTCGATTGAATCACGCTTTTAAGAACGCGGTGAAATTTCGACTTTCAATTAAGGGGATCTTAAGCTGGCGGCGCACGATGCTTGTTTTCCTGTTGGATTGCTAGTTGGATTAGAATCTTTTCACCGTATTGATGCTGACAGTGCCAGCATCGCAGCCAGTACGATGGCAAGAATCTAATCCAACTAGCAATTCAGTAAGAAAACAAGCGTTGTGTGCCGCCGGCTTTAAAGTCGTCTGTTTTACTGATTCAGTATAGGATTTACATATATACGATTTATGTGTCATTGACACATCACTACACACTATTATATCAATTTCGTATGTACATATATGTACAAATTTTCTAACTAATCTTTCATATCAGGTCTTTAAGCTTAATTCTAAGAGCTCAGTATTGTTTGTTCATGTAATCCTTAGTCCAAAAAATATTTTAAAAATTAATTCAGAGTTGTTAATCTAACTCTAAATTAATTTTTAAATGATTCAAGCATATAACTGACAGCGATTTCATAACAATGTGAATAAGGATTTTATTAACTTTATTTCACAATTTTTTTTGGAGTAGCGTCATTATTATGATAATTTTCGGTTTCCATGAAGAAAAATATGTAAAAAGATGTAAAAATAAAACGATTCCTGAACGATCGCGAAAAAAGTTGTACTCTCTTTTGAATTTTAGAATTCTGAGGCTAAA